TTTTTTTTTTTTTTTTTTTGGTACCGGGGATCGAACTTGGGTCTTTGTGCTTGCAAGGCAGGCAGCAGAACCACTGAGCTAAATCCCCGGCTCAGCCTAAATTTTTTTTAAAAATGTTTTTGACCCATTGTTGGTTGCATTTGCAGACACAGCATCTGTAGATCTGGAAAATCACCTGTATGTGTTGTGTGCCTTACACTATTCTAGGCACTGGTGGTGTAAGTATGAAATGTAAATGTCAAACAGTCCTGGTCCTTAAACAGCTAAATTGTCTTAAAATTATATCAGACACAAAATTATATCACAGATACATAAAATTATATCCAGATATATAAAAGAGAGCCAGCTTCATAACATTATATCACAGTTTCTCATAATGGTATGTTATGGAGATAAGTACAAGGCACAGTTGGAAAATAAGTGGTAGCACTCCTCTATTTGCTATGAAAGCAAGGAAAGACCTAGTAAAAGTTAGCTTAGGCAGAAACTTACAGAAACTTGCCAGGTAGCTAGCTAGATGGTTTTTAGTAAGAGTGTTCCATGTGTTCCGAGGCACAGAGGTGTTAAAGAGGCTGGTGTGCTTCAAATCTTGAGGCTCTTCAGTATTACATGATACAGAGTATGAGGCAGGGAAAGCAGTAGGTAAGGCAGAATGGGTGAGAAAGAATGATTAATACAACAAGATGCCCAGAGAGACAAGAGTAGGACTAGTGTGCAAGTAAATGGATTTGTATAGGAGAGGAAGGAACCTTGTGTTTGGTGTTATGAGAAGAGTTGAATAAGAGAGTAGTTCTTATATAGAGCAGGAAGGGAGGGACTATTTAGTGTATAATTTATTTTTTGAACATAGGAAAGACAGAAGATTTGTTGAGAGTACCACCATAGGAATGAGAGAGGGAGTAGAGGGAGGAGAGGATTTGAAATCAGAGGGAGAGCTGAGAGAATACTGAAGAATTCCTTGATAATGTCAAGGCTCAAATGAGGTTGGAAACCATGACACACATAGTATGTATGTCTACACATATGTATAAAGTTCTCCAGCCTTAATAATGGCCTATTTAGTAAGGGCAGGTTAAAAGAAATTTAGTACAGTGCACACAGACAAAAATGTTCTCTTTCATAGTGGTCATATTTCTTTTGTGTTTGTTTTTGGTTTTTAAGATAGGGTCTTGCTATGTAGTTTAGGCTGTCCTTGAACTTGTGGTGATCCTCTTGTCCCAGCCTCCAGAGTACTGGGATTATAGGTGTGTGATACCACACCTGGCTAACATTTCTTATAGCTTGTTCTTTTTAGAATAACTTTGATGTTAAATAGATTCCTTTCTCATGAGTTGATTATTCAATAGTTATTGAGTAGCTGTTAGTGGTAGTTACCTTACTGATTCTACACTACCACCATTTTTTTGAGTTTATTGATAATTTTAGGTATACAGTGCAGTTACATTCATTATTGGGATCTTGTACCTTTACATGACAGGTCT